AGACTTCTGAGTCTAAATGGGGACCTGCACCCAGCTCTCCTGAAGGACACAGGACAGGAGGAGAGGGGCCCCCACCAGCACAGCTCCCCTCATGGACTAACTGTCGTCGCAGAAGGCAGCTCATTTCCAGCAGTGGCTCGAGATATGTTACTAAGTGTAACCCCTTTGGTGATGCTTCTCATTTTGTCCCACTAATTTGACCACTGCCTTCCCTCCTCCAGCTGCTATCAGCAGCCTGTCTGTAGCTCATGACGCAGTGCTTGGAGACAGAATCCCCACGCTGCTGAACAATGCCTCCAGCCAGTGCCTGCTGGGTGGGGGGCGTTATCATTTTACTGATACCACATTTTTTAACTGACATCTCAGGCCTGGTGTATGTTATATTTTAAAGGAAGGGGGGAGACGAGATAATTTCCACATTGCCGGGATATAGCATGCATTGCCCAAGAGGTCTTGTGGGTGGTATTCCTCTTAACAAGCAACTTACCATGTTGCAAGGGGGACGAGGGTCCTGGGGGTGGGAAAGTCGGACAGGGACATCCCAGGCTGTTGCATAATAACACATTGGCACCCTGGGAATACTCCTGGATGTGTGGGCTTCTGAAAAGTGAATGCAAACGCCACCATAAATCTGACACCCCCTCACATGGGTGGGGGTGGTACCAAATGGTCAGTGCCAAAAAATAGAAAAAGGAGAGAAAAAAGGAAGTCCCTCAGATGGGGAGGCAGAGTACACAGTAGAAAAAGCAAAGACTCTCCACTTCTCTGGAGAGAGGATCCCCTTCTCTATGAGCTGTGTGACCTCGGGCAAGTTAAGACATCACTGCAGATACCAGAGACCTCACATCGGTTCACATTATACAAAGGTGCATGACACCTCATGGGTATCAATAAGTAGTGGTTGTTGCTGATACACACAAACATACTCCCCAGCTCCCCCCCACACACACACACACTGAGAAAAGTAATAGTTTATGTGCGTCAAGCAGGTCTAACTTGCTAAGAATAGGGCTAAAACTCATAGTATCTTATGACAACAATTTTTGGTCAGGATTCTAAGTGACAACAGAAACCAACTTGGCTAACTTAAGCAAAACAAGCAAACAAGCAAACTCTGTTCAGAGAACATTGGATACTTATGGAAGACTCTCTGGGAAGGCTGGAGAGCTAGCCTTGCAGGCTCTGAAGCCCAATTCCGAGCTCAAGATTAGGTCCGATGGCTGGTCTTGTGAAGACATCTCAGAGCTGCTGTTACACACAGAACCTTCAGCCCTAATGCTGGATGCTGTTGTTGGTACTTTGGAAATGCAGGGGGTGTGGGCTGGTGTCTGATTGGGGGTCAGGAGGAGAGTGCAAGTCTTGTGCCCACACTCAGCTACAAGGGGGGCTGGGAGATGCTTGTGTTTTCAACTTTGGTCGTGGTGGTTGGACTCTGCCTCATTATCATTACAACAAAGAGCTCTTTTCTAAACCTAGGGAAGGGAGTCGAATAATAACTGTCTACAAATTGGTAAATAACTGCCACAGTTGAGTCCCAGGATTTTTACCATTTTCTGGATGAGAACATTGAAGCTTAGCCAAGGCCCCATGTCTAAACTATGGTATGAACTCAGCCAGTCTCACTCAAGCCTGTTCTGTGGGCCACTATCTTGACCTGACAAACGTAATGATGCGAACAACGTCCACCTTGGCAAAGCCTCCCACGCTCCAGCCCCCTTTCTCTGACTCATTAGAGCTGGATCTCTGGGGAGCCAAAGATGCATGTTGATTCTTGCGCTGCTTTTCGTTGAGGAAGATGGTTTTCTAGATTAAAGCTGTGGAGTTTGTCCTTGGAATATAGTTCCTGGGAGCTGAGATCTCTGGGTAGATTGATCCCTTTTCTTCTTGGGATGCCCTGTGTCTCTGTGAGTTTCTCTAATAGTAAATGGTGAGGGCGGGGGGCATAGTGGAGATCTTTCCTGTAGCACAAGCCACACTCAACATACAGGGACAGCAGGGAACCTTCCCTGGACACCACCCACACCCGACAGTTTTGTATGCCCTTCCATTATGTACCCCATGAATTGTCCTGCAGCACTATGTTCCCCATTCACACCGGGAGCCCCACAAGAACAAGAGCTACTGTTTTGCAAGTAGTTTACCACCATGAGCTCTGGAGTCAGGCTCTCTGGGTTTGAGTCCCCAGTTTTATCATTTAACTGCCTCTCATTTCACTTCCCCGTGCCTCAACTTCCTCTTTTGTAAAAGCAGGACACTAATGAAATTGTTGTGAGAGTCAGTTTATAATATGCTTGATATATAATAGAGACCTGATGCACAAAATTCGTGTAAGAGTAGGCCTTCCTTCTCTTGGCTGCTGGCACCAGCTTCCCTCTGGCACCCGGGACCCAGGCTTCCCTCCAGCACCCAGGACCCAGGCTTCCCTCTGGCCGCCAGCAAGCACTCGGAACCCGGGCTTCCCCACAGCCCCAGCTTCGTCCAGAAGGTCGTCCAGAAGGACGTCCAGTCTAATTAGCATATTATGCTTTTATTATTATAGATGTTCAATAAATATCATCCATCAGCAGCAGAATAGGTGGAATCTAGTAGAAAATGTCAGTATAAAAATGGATCCATTAGGGTCCAAGTCTGATTCTCTTACAAACTTTCTCATCATCACGCCTTTCCTCTGAAGCATTTCCGTTAACGCTGTGTGCAAATCATTGATTTAGTCCACACCAGCTATTTTGTCCAAAGTATAGGCGGGGAAGTGAGGCCCAAGGAGGTATGGCAAGCTGGGGCTGGACTCGCTGTCCAGTGCTATTTCTAGCAGAGGTTCCCAGGCCCCACCACTGTATGCTTACAATTCGGTTCTTTTTCTGAGAAATGATGAACCATGTCCTAATTTTCACTTCCTCTCTGCACCAGACTCCCACCACCAAGAGCATCAAAGACTCCAAATACATAGACCAGGGGTCAGCAGATGTGGTCTGTAAAGGGCTGGATAGTAAATAGTGTAGGCCTTTTGGCCCCTAGGTCTCTGTTGCAACCACCAAATTCTGCTGCTGTAGCAGGAAAGCACAGCAGACAATATATAAAGGAAGGGTGTGCTGTGTTCCAGTAAGGCTTTATTTACACATGTAAGCAGTGGGACGAGTTTGGCCCATGGAGGTATTGTGCAGACCCTTTCCATGGACAAGAAGTTCTCCTGTAAGGGCTACTTATTTTTGTTCATGGTTGCCTAGTGCTCAAGCAACACAGAACATGGATGTCAGAACCCAAGCATCCCTTCAGGGTACCATATCCTACCTTCCCACATCCTACCTTTCTCCCAGAAGCACTTGAATCACATGCCAACTTAGTGCAAGTAAAATAGGTAGCTACTTCCCAGCATGATCTGAGTCATATTGGGTGTCATGAGGATGACAGCAAAGGTGAGGGTTTGGTTAGGGCAGAGCTTGTGACTATGAGAAATAATAATCACACACCTTGAAAATCACACAACAGAAGAGCAGTCCAGGCTCTTAAAAACCACCTCACTCAGTCCTTTCAAGTTACAGAAGGTAAACTGAGGCCCAGGCTAAGGAAGCAATTTGGTCAGCATTATCCAGCAAGTTCTCACCACAGCTAGGACCAGAGCCTGGTTTTCTTCATTTTAGTCCAAGGCTCTTTCCACCCCACCACTCGGCTAATATCAGGCTTTTGTACAGACCGACAAATTGAAACCGATGGAGGAGAAGGAAAAAAACAAACCACCTTCTGCCATTTAAAAACCCAAGGTCTTGCCTAGAAACTCTCCTGTCCTCCCTCCCTCCACATCTTTCCTTCCTTCCATCCACAAGCAGTAGTGGGACCCCCCTATGGTGCTGCTGGGCCCCTACTTGGTGCCAAGGAGATAGTAGGTGCTCAATAAATGTGTGCTGCGACTGGAATAAAAGATAACTGATATTATTTAGCTCAGGGAGCTCACAATTTACCAGGAGAAGGTCTAAATGCACCGGAATGCACTGCAACTGTGAAGACCCCATGACATTTCCTCCCCTTTCCTCCTAGAAAATTGCCTTTCAGTGAGAAATCTTCCCAGCACTGTTTCCATTCCCCCCACAGCTGCCCCTGCCCTCCTCAGATAGAGCACCTCTGTCTTTTGTACTTGCAAATGATTTGTGATTAGTTTTCACCTCCAGCCCAGGGGATTAGCCTGGGGACCTTTGATCTTCAGGTATCGATTTGCATCTTAAAGGAAGTATGATCTCATCTGGGCCAGCTCAAAATTCCATCCCTGCCCCCCAACCCCTGTCTGTTTACCAGCCCCGGGCTGGCCAGGGCCTCCCAAGTGGGGCTGAAACAACAAGATCAGCCAGACTCCAAGAAGAGGCCTAGGGAAGGTGGGAAAAGGACCTTTGCTTTCTAAACACAGGCTGGTCTGCTGTTCCCTCTTTGAGTCAGAAAAATGCCGAAGATTGGGAATGCGTTGCGGGGAGAGGGTAGGGGGAAGGGGGCTGGTGGTCCCTGGATCCTAGAGGGAGGTTGTGTAGTCAAATGGACTGAGCACATGCCTAAGAATCAGACAAAATGAGGTCCAAGTCCTGGTTTTGTCTCAAATCACTCCCAACCTGTATGATTCTAGGCAAGGTTTATAATCTCTCTGGCTTTTGATGTTTCTCATCTCTACAGTAGGAATAAAAGCCTTAAAAATCTATACTACTAACCATCCTGGACAGCTGGTGTGAAGAAGAGCAATACTGTGTGTAAGGTGAGGTTAGGTCAACAGAGTACCCAGTCACCTCTTTCCTCTATGAGAACTTAAGCTACCCAGGGCAGGGATGTACTTGCCCTTTGTTTCCATTGCTGTATTTCCTGGTGCCTAAAACAGTGCCTGGCCCATAGGAGGCACTCAATACATATTTGCAATATAAGGGAGTGACACTTCATTCAGTCACAACTATTAGTGTTATTGTAATTGGTCAAGGATTCCTCACTGTTCGTCCCTAGCCAGGCCCAGGGGAATGACAAAGACTTACCAATGCAATTGAAGGAAACTTCCTGTTGGCAGAACAGGGAGCAGCCATCACCATTGATCTTATTCATGTCATCGCATTCTTCACCTTGGCCTCTGCAGAACACATAGGAGAGAAAGGGATCTCATCAGCTTCAAAATGACAGCAGGATGTGGATGTGGCAAAGTCCCCTGCAACCCAGGCCTCAGGCAAGTCCCCTTCCCTGTGTAAGCCTCTGTTTCTTCATCATCAAGATGAGATGCTTAAAAGGTGTACCTCTGTCGGACCCCATGCCATTTGGCTTATTTTTTTGTTTCTGATGACAACAGAATTTCTGTTTCAAACACATTCTCTGAGATCTCAATCAGCTAAGTCAGCAAGTCTTATGGGAGTAAGATATGGATGAACGAACGAACAAATGAATGAACAGACCTTGCTGCACTGTGTCCAGAAAATGTCACTGCCACTTTAAAACGATGGATTTAAAGAACATTTTGGCATTTCTAAAATATAAATGCTGTCTTCACTATGCCCTGTGTCCCCCCTCTCCCCACTTTCTCAATGCTCTTAAAGGTCAAGATTTTTTTTTTCCCTTCACATGCTCAGGCTGGGTTTTCCTTTTATCAGCCTTCTCCATAGGTGTGTTGTTTGCTGGCATCAAGAATGCCTAGGCCTGTGGAACTAACTGTGCTTCTAGGAAATAAAAATGCCTCCTCTTGTTTATTTTAGGAATTATTTTCACCACCTGAGGATGATTCTGCAGAGGTTAGGATGGAAAGAAAATGAGCAATGCTCTTGGAATTGGACCTAGGAGAAAAGGGAGGAATAATAACGAAGAGATTCAATGAACTGGAGAAATAAAAACAGAAAGATTCAATGAACTGCTGATTAAAAAAAAAAAAAATTCCCATCCTCTGAGAAATAGAAATCTTGGGTTTTGATCCCCATGGTCAAAACTGGCTGTGTGATCTCCAACAAGTCACTGGATCTCTCTGTCTGATCCTTCTATCTTGGACAATGTAAACCAATGAACATGCAAAATAACTGAAAATGCTCTGGCTCAGTCACAGTCGCTATGTTTCGAGTCCTTAGTAGCTGGATGTAGCTAGTGGTTACTGTGTTGGACAGCACAGAAGAGATTTCCATCATTGCAAAAAAAGCCACTGGAAGGTGCTATTCTAGATCTCACTGATTCAAATGGAGGTAATTATACCTACTCCTTAGAGTGCGTGTAAGAATGAGATGTGATGGCAAGTGACTGGCACGGTGTGTGACACACAGTAAATGCTCAGGGGATCACAGCCCGTTCCCACTCTGTCCTGGGAGGTCTCTGCAAAGTGTGTGGCAGCTGTCCCTTCCTCCCTCCCTGGAGACCAGCTGGGCCCCATCACAGCATGAAGGAGTCCTCAGACTTCTGCCTTCACTGGGGCAATTAATACTGGGAAATGTTTGTTGCTTTTAAGAGGTGTCAGCGTAGCAGGATGGTGCCTTGCAATCAATCCCGAAGATGGCCAGGGCATTGCACTGATTTCCAAAGAGCTCTCCCCTGTCTGCACACCCAGGAGCAAAGAAGCAGCCCAAATCCCAAGCCGGGCCCCTGTTCCAATCTCCGCCACGGAGTCTCACTCGGTGGAAAACGGGGATGGCCTTGTGCTCCTTAGCTATTTCATGGGTTATCTGGGGAGAGATTTTTTTTTTTAAACCTGGGCTGGGTTCCCTAAGCCACAAAGAATACTTCTCAACCGCCTTCCCTCACCACCCAAACAGTGTGTTCTATTGGTTTAAGCATAAAATTAGGGTCACCACAAATATCTTCTAGGCATGAAAGATCTATCATTAGATAGAGAAGTTCTGAAAAACCTTCCCTGACCTCACAGGCCGGAGTGGGAGGCTGTCTTCTCTGTGACCAACGACACCAGGCTCAATCTATCACAGCGCTTGTCACACTGCCTGCCCTGTCCTGTCACTTGAGAGGCCCCTATCCTTGGCTTTAAGATGCCAAAGGAAGTGCAGTCTTTGTCCTCCTAGCACCCCGATGCCTGGCACTGTGACTTGGCCATAGCAGAACGCATGTAGCTACTCCTTTACATGTTAGTTTGGCACAATTGTTGGTCACGCAACAAGGCAACGGTGAATCCACATGAAAGCCTGGGCCCTGGTTCATGTCTTGGTTCTGCTCCTTACTGGCCCTATAAGGCTGAGAAAACCACTTCAATCTTTGTGTGTTAGTCGTCTCTTCCGTAAAGTATAGTAAAAGGATCTATGTAATACAGTTGTTGGAAGAACCCAAGGAGATGGCTAAGTAGCACAGTGCCTCGTGCATAGTAGAGGCTCAGCTAATGTTTATGAATATTATTATCACTGTCGTAATATTCATCCAGTGTTTTCAACCATTTTCTTACACACACACACAGAGCAAATAACATGTATCATCCCCTGAAAAATCCCATTAGTTAAGATGCCATCCCTCCTTTACTTCAAAGTTGTGGTTTTTGTGTGTTTGTTGGTTTTGCTTACGACACTGTTCATATTCACTAATTCTGTTCAGTTTCTACAAAACCTGTCAACAATTACTAGGTAACTGCAGGTAACTCAACACGTACTTGATGTCTATGCAGGATACCAATTCTAGGTGAAAACACTAAAAAATGCTGTTAAGAATATTCTTTAAATGAATACTAACAACAATCCATTTCTAGATCAGCTGGAAGAACGCCATTGTTTGCAGTGTTTGACCAATGCGTCTATAGCGGGCTCTGAAATGGAGAGACTGAGTTGGACATCTGATTCCACATCAAGTGGGTTTCCTTTTTTATTCTTTGTGCTAAATTAGAAAATCCCAAATCACAATTATGGGTTTGCAGCAGCAAAGACCGCAAGTGTTTGCTGGAGATTCTGGATCTGCTGCTCTATCCTGGACCCACAAATGATGGGGCACTTTCCCCGGGGACCGCCTTGCGCAGCTGCTCAGTGTTCCACTGGACAGCATGTGCACCAGAGCTGGAGGCTGATGTCTTAAGACGGGAGAGAACAGCGATGGCTCCCCCGCCCTATTTTAGTGCATCAAGCACTGGAACCCATATCTTCATGCCTGGTGGTTGCATCTGGGTGTGGACCTTAAATACATCCTCTGACACATGTGGAGCTTTATCCTCTACACTTAAAGAGTCCAATTCTTGGCAATCAGGCGGTCTCCACCTTAATTCAATACCAAAGACTCCTTATATCCATAGATATTCCCTGAGACATAGCACTCAGCAAACCACTGGAAATCGTGTAAAGCAGTGGTTCTCAACTTTGGCTTCACATTAGAATCACCAGAGGGATTCTAATTTCTTTGTTACTAATGATGAGGCCCAGAAATCAGGACTTTAACAAGATTCCCAGGTGATTCTAATGTGCAGCCAAGGTTGAGAACCACTGGTTAAAGAATCACTACTGGCCTTATCAGTGTCAACATTTGTTTTAAAATGTCATCCCTTCTTTCAAAAACTTGAATTAGCATCTTCCTTGTGACAGCCAGTACGCTTCAGTGTGTTGAGCTGTGTGGGGCACAAAATCTTGCTCACATGAGCATCTTTTTGCACATTAAGATGAAAAGGTGTACCTCACTGCCCGCCTCTGATCTTATTCACAGCATTCACTATTTCCTTCAATGCTGCCCTAGGCCCTTGCTGGCCAATAACTGAGGTCTGTGTGGAGGGCTATTCATGTGCAAACTCTTTACTTGCATAACTGTGTCAATCTTGCTGTGCTCCAAGCTGGTCCTTTCATCCTGCTGCAGGTTTCCAGTTCACATTACATACTATGAAATCCTCAGTGCCAAATTCAATTGCTCTGCCCCTCCAGCACTGGTGTCAATGATGAACTGAAGGAAATCGCCATCCAGCGCTTCTCTTTCGTGTGTGTGCTACGCCTATGAGGGGATGCACGTTCTGCACATCAGTGGCTTCATTCAACTGTGAAATAAATTCTTTACAGCCCCTCCCCCTGCAGAAACAGTCATTGCAGTTGCATGTCGCACAGATATTATGGGACACCCAGCAGTGCCATTTAATGAAGGAATTTTGCCGATAGCTTGTTTTGCCATCTCCACACATAATGTGTATCATTACATCTGCCAATAG